AACAAATTACTAATTTGTTATAACAAATTATCAATTTGTTAAAACAAATTACTAATTTGTTAAAACAAATTACTAATTTGTTATAACAGATTACTAATTTGTTATAACAAATTACTAATTTGTTATAACAAATTATCAATTTGTTATAACAAATTACTAATTTGTTAAAACAAATTACTAAATTGTTATAACAAATTATCAATTTGTTATAACAAATTATTAATTTGTTATAACAGATTACTAATTTGTTATAACAAATTACTAATTTGTTATAACAGATTACTAATTTGTTATAACAAATTACTAATTTGTTATAACAAATTATCAATTTGTTATAACAAATTACTAATTTGTTAAAACAAATTACTAAATTGTTATAACAAATTATCAATTTGTTATAACAAATTATTAATTTGTTATAACAGATTACTAATTTGTTATAACAAATTACTAATTTGTTATAACAAATTATTAATTTGTTATAACAGATTACTAATTTGTTATAACAGATTACTAATTTGTTATAACAAATTATCAATTTGTTAAAACAGATTACTAATTTGTTATAACAGATTACTAATTTGTTATAACAGATTACTAATTTGATATAACAAATTATCAATTTGATATAACAAATTAATAATTTGTTATAACAAATTTGTAATTTGTTATAACAAATTAATAATTTTGATAAAGTGAAAGTGTATACAGATCTATGGAAGCCAGATGAGATCAGAAATCTTTTTATAAGTTGGATTTGTGAAAATAGTAAATGTGCAAGCTCTGCAGCTACAGCTTTTGACCAATATGTTAATCTGGATTTACATCTTTTAGCATTTAGAGTTTTCACTGTCAAACATTATTGTTATAAAGATACAATGCATTAAATTCTTTGGTTACTTATTCTTAGGAGCTCTATTTGAATTTTGTCCTCCTCCCCCACCAGGGCTCCGTCCTTGACTCCCATTTACCAGGTCATTGCATCCCCGTTCGTATGCTAGGAAAAAATATCTTATCAAAGACATGTTATTTGGAGAGGGAATTTTTCCCACCCTGAATCAACATGTTCATTATAATATTTTTTTTCAATATGTCTTTTATTTTATTTCATTTTACCCCCCCCCCCTCCCTCTCTCTCTCGGTTCATTCTATACATGTACCAAATGATTTATGCCTACTGTTCAATCCAGTTTATGTATCATGAATAAAATATATTTTAAACTAAACCGCCGTTCCTAATGCAAAAACCTGAATCTGCTCCTCTGGTTATCCTCCTTGGCCCCAATTTATGCTGGGGGCAATAAAGGCAACATTGATAAAAAATGAATTTGTAGATAAATTATCATAGAAAAATTGATAAACACTCTGTAATAACCTTTTCTGAAAACGAAAATAAACAATATTCTTGAGTGGGTAGTACTTCGTAAAATTTGAATTTAGATACCTTGTGAAATTTTTTCATGTATGTATGTATTTTTATAATCAAAATACGTGCCTTTTGGAAAAGCCCTCAAAGTCCCACTAAAGCCTTCATAACTTATTATTGGCTGAAAACTTTGACAGTTGTTTCTTCAAATTCATTTGTAATTTGTATCCTGGTTGTCTCATATAGGACTACTCATATATTTTACAAGAAATCGTTAAGCAATATAATTTGTTATAACAATACACACAAAATATTACACATGTGTAAAGAAGGAAAAAATAGGTCTTCTCCCATTTTGACCCCTGTGTTGACATTGAAAAAAGTGTTGATTTGAATGGACGACGTTGAAATCATATTTAATTGTCCGGAACTTCGAATTTTTCTCGAAGGATCCAACATTCTGTATTTCTTCTACATAATCCCTGGATCCAGAGGAGCAGATTCAGGTTTTTGCATTAGGAACGGCGGTTTAGTTTAAAATATATTTTATTCATGATACATAAACTGGATTGAACAGTAGGCATAAATCATTTGGTACATGTATAGAATGAATCGAGAGAGAGAGGGAGGAGGGGGGGGGTAAAATGAAATAAAATAAAAGACATATTGAAAAAAAAAAATATTATAATGAACATGTTGATTCAGGGTGGGAAAAATTCCCTCTCCAAATAACATGTCTTTGATAAGATATTTTTTCCTAGCATACGAACGGGGATGCAATGACCTGGTAAATGGGAGTCAAGGACGGAGCCCTGGTGGGGGAGGAGGACAAAATTCAAATAGAGCTCCTAAGAATAAGTAACCAAAGAATTTAATGCATTGTATCTTTATAACAATAATGTTTGACAGTGAAAACTCTAAATGCTAAAAGATGTAAATCCAGATTAACATATTGGTCAAAAGCTGTAGCTGCAGAGCTTGTACATTTATTATTTTCACAAATCCAACTTATAAAAAGATTTCTGATCTCATCTGGCTTCCATAGATCTGTATGCACTTTCACTTTATCAAAATTATTAATTTGTTATAACAAATTACCAATTTGTTATAACAAATTAATAATTTGTTATAACAAATTAATAATTTGTTATAACAAATTATTAATTTGTTATAACAAATTATTAATTTGTTATAACAAATTATTAATTTGTTATAACAAATTATTAATTTGTTATATCAAATTGATAATTTGTTATATCAAATTAGTAATCTGTTATAACAAATTAGTAATCTGTTATAACAAATTAGTAATTTGTTTTAACAAATTAGTAATTTGTTTTAACAAATTGATAATTTGTTATAACAAATTAGTAATTTGTTATAACAAATTAGTAATCTGTTATAACAAATTAGTAATCTGTTATAACAAATTAGTAATCTGTTTTAACAAATTAGTAATCTGTTATAACAAATTAGTAATCTGTTTTAACAAATTAGTAATTTGTTTTAACAAATTGATAATTTGTTATAACAAATTAGTAATTTGTTATAACAAATTAGTAATTTGTTATAACAAATTAGTAATCTGTTATAACAAATTAGTAATCTGTTTTAACAAATTAGTAATCTGTTATAACAAATTAGTAATTTGTTTTAACAAATTAGTAATTTGTTTTAACAAATTGGTAATTTGTTATAACAAATTAGTAATTTGTTATAACAAATTAGTAATCTGTTATAACAAATTAGTAATCTGTTATAACAAATTAGTAATCTGTTATAACAAATTAGTAATTTGTTAAAACAAATTAATAAAAGATACTGCTGCGGCCCTAATACGCTTCCGTAGGGATCCGAGTCGGAAAGAACAAAAGCATACTAACCACTATATATGTATGAGATTCACTAAAGATGGCACTACTGGACAATTTTGAATCATGTTAGAGTGATACGCATTTTGTCATTCTTACGTCTTATTTGCCTCAACTCATGATAAATTGAAAAAGAAAAAAAGGTAAAAATTTATCTTAAATGATGAAATAATACAACTATGTTCAATGACGGCTGAAAATCAACCATGCAGCTCGATCTTTATATCATTAATGTTTTTGATAAATTTAACGAGTATACATAACATAACATTTTATCAACCCGTGAATTTGAACTTTTTTCGGTTTGTTTAAATGCTAATTTAAATTTGTCGATCAGATCACAGGCACTTGTTTCGGTAATAAATTTTTAACCCATAGTATAATAATTTTAAATTCTGTAGTGTGGATGCCATAAACAGCAAAGGTCTGGATTTTAAATTCATTGAAATAAATAAATAAAAATACCTTTTTAATTTTTTCTCAATAACTTGGACAAGTTAACTGTATTATATCATGAACAGTACTGATAAAAGCCGGTCAATCTTTGTTGCAGTAGGACTGATATGATTTCTGGAGACATTTGTGACGGTTGTTGTCTATGGTTTGTTGTAAATAAAATCGAATAATTTCATCTCATCAGACATGACTGCAGTTAAACAGGCACTTGCTACTGATTTTTTTTTTACCCCATAGTATAATACATGTAGTAACATTATTATTAAACTATGGGGTTAAAAAATTATTACAGAAACAAGTGCCCAGGCATACTCATGAGTATAGTTTGTCAGTAAAGAATAAAGGCAAGGATCTATATATGTCCCTGAGAAAGGTTAAGTGATTTAAGTATCGTAGTTTTCTGTGATTACTTTTGAAAATGTCCAAATGGAAATTTCTTGTTGATAAAAAAAAGTTGTGCCATTATAATATTTTGATGAATTATAATGTATTTTATACCATATACAAGATGCAAGGACTTTCTCCAGTGTAAGTGGAAAAAAATGTACCAATAATTTCCAATCATGGTAATATTTGATGGAATTTAATGCATTGAATTGCTTTTGAATATAATGTGTTTTACCGTACAGAATGTCGAGATGTTTTGAAAGAACCATTGACGCAGTTTTCAGGCCCGTACAACGCGGGGAAGGGGCACGGGGGCCGCCCCCTCACTTTTTTTCTGAGATAGTATTTTGCTATAGTAAATTTTCCTTAGATGCTGGTTGTCCCCCCTTTATTTGATGTCGTAAGGTCGAGCACTAGCAAATTCCAGAATTTGGCAGTAGTAAATGAGCTTTTTTTTTTTTTTTTTTTTTTTTTTTTTGCTTGTCGCATAATTTTATGAAGTTCCCCCCCTCCCCCCCCCCCCCAACCACAACCACTTATGGTTTATAGTTTAGTTTTTTTGTTTTGTTTTTGTTTTTGTTTTTTTTTTTTTTTTTTTTTGCTTTTCAGATTGGGGGGGGGGGCAATTTTTGAAACTGTTGCTACGGACTTGGGTTTTATGCATACTTAGATGTGTTTTACCGTACAGAATGTCGAGATCTTTTGGAAGAACCATTGACGCAGTTTTTATGCATACTTAGATGTACAAGTAACATTGATGACGTCAATCAGAACTGTGAAGTATTGATTTCCCATTTAGGCCTCCATAGAATTAGCAAAAAATATATATACTTGTATGATCCAAGGAACCATACAATAATATTAATTATTGGATATGCTAACGATTTTAAAAGATGATGTGCATTACAGCAGTTTACACAGGGAAAAGTGAAAGTGACAAAAATACGAAACTACCACTAACCTATTTATCTTGCGTGGGTGTAAAATTATTAAATTATCATAAACAAATGCACTATCAAGAATATATTTGTCGAGGTAAGTGCGATCTTTTATTTGATTTATTAGGTTTATAAGAATATATGAGGGAGAAATAATAGAATTCGCTCGGTTTAACTGAATGTAAAATTTTCCAACACTCCGTAATACACAAATCTTATTTTTATTGTCTTCCCCGATTTCCTCTGCCAAGATGACTTCGTAATGTATCCATAATATTTATCAACAGCACTTTTCAGCGATTCACGCTAACTATAGTATTCATTTACCGGCGTTTATTAAAGGTTAAATTGCCACTCTTTACTTTTGAAAATAATTGTTGCCTTGCTGGTTCTTCAGGTTTTAAAGTATACATAATTTTTCGTCGATGTCATTCATTGACTCTTGCCTCTGCATAACTAAATGTGTGTATTGGCCTGACCCTATTCTTTAGAACATGGTATTTTATATTTTGTGATGCTTCGTTGATATGGTATTATGTGTTTTTAAGGAAAAGAGTAAACCAAGCATTTAGAAATACTGCTTGTTAAAATATTTCACATGTACAAAGAGCAGCTTATACCTAGGTTATTATAAACATAAAACCTTTATACATAATCTGAATTCATATTTTTGAATGAATATTCCACCAATAGAAAATTCTGACATAGTTAAATAATTTTATTACACAGAGTATGAGTTGTTGCAATTAATGATGTAGACAGCATATATATCACATGGTACTGCCATGTAATACTTAGACATGAGATACCTTTGCAACAGAAATATAGTAGGCCTTGTGAAGGACAGTCACTTAACTTCCTTATTTTGTAGTCAAAGCAACCAGCTGAAATGAAGATGATTAATCAGTGCAATGAAGCACTTCAATAACAAGTATTGCAATCATGGATGGGATGAATACCTGGTAATAAAAATGTGTTTCCAAGAAATGCAAATTAATGTAATCCAAAGTTGCATAATAGATTGTAGTCAGGTGATGAGAAATATTTTTGCGTTGTCTGGGAGGCTTTCTATGATCTTGCTATTGAATCCATTGACTAGGGTTGCAAAGTTATTTAAATTAAATGATGTAACGTCCACATGCATGTAATGTTCCTCATATATCCAAGTGGCATTGGTCTTCCCAAAGAATACCATGACGATACCATTTCCAAAGAAAAAATGTAAAATAAATTTACAGCTCTCCTGAATTGCATAAATCAATGGGTGATGGTATAGTGGAGCCCAAGAGTAACAGTTGCATTAAAAGACTTTAATTATCGGTATACATCAAATTGGTCATGTGAACACATTTCCTATGAAAATGCAGTTGTACTTTGGTATCTTGAACACCGATATCTCAAGAACCAAGGATTTGTCAAAGTGCATGCATTGGCAGTACAGTACCAACTACTTTGTTTTTTACCCTCATTATCTCAAATCCTTGCATATCTCGAAGTTTAATCTTGGTCCCATGGAGCTCGAAAAAACAAGGTTTGACTGTTTGAGGATACCTTTTTTTTGTCCACAGGTTTGCACTATGATTGCTCTGGACTGCACAAATTTAGATACAGTTATATACTAAATGATTAAATGAAACTTTTAATAACTGTACTAGTCACAGGTGCCCTTTGTATTCAATTGTAAATATTTCTCTTTGGCTTTCATTTAGATTCTAGGCTGCAACATTTCATTTTCAATGCTGGATAGATGATGATAAACAAATGCATCGCTCTAAAGTACAAGTTTTCATTTTGACTGAAAATGAGCACAGATTGTGTCATTGATTATAAGCACAAAATATATGAATCAAGAAATACATTTATACAGAGGCATTACCGGTTTATTCAGGTTAATAGAAAATAAGTGATAGTATCAGATGAATGAGAGGATGAATAAAAAAACTTGGATAAGTATAGGCATATAAACTGTATTCTGTATCAGAAATGAAATCAAGATATTATCAAATATGGTGATACTAAGCTTGAATATGTTATTCACCAGTTGTATAAAAGAGTAAATGACACATAGTGTATTTGATACATCGCAGGGAAACCTGAAAATTTTAATTTGACAATTAATTATCAGTTAATGTTCACATACAGTGACTATAACAGACAGACAAGTAAAGTACCATTTAGTTGGTCTTCAATATCATTTTTAAGCTTGTTAGCAAAGTTTTACATAATTTTACTTTAAGAAAGAAAATTGATTTTATTTTAATTAGCACCAAAAAAAAAACCCCAACCATTTAATATTGTATATTTATGAGTTAAATATGAGTTTTTACAGTGTAGGACAGTTGCAAGTTTCAGACTTGGAATCTCTTTTTTTCTATTTAATTGACTTTATAGTCCATTTGATTATAATTTTGTTAATGAACTCATGATATTTCTATTATAGTTTTTACTTAACAATTTGTCCCTTTTTGTTTGGAAGATTCCTCTTTAATCAGATTTAATCAACACTATTGCATGTTATACCTATACAGGTGTGGAATGATTACCTGAAACATATATTCCTTTTCAGGTGTCATTAGTACTTCCCTTGGCCTTGCTAGTTGCCTTTTATATGCATTAGATTGCTTATATGTTTTATACGAATCTGGTCATTTTATGTAAATTTTATGAGAATGTACACATATGTGTGGTAGATGACCCCATGTGTGTACTGGTTTATACCGAAGATCTACCATAGGGATTTCTGCTAGGACTTGTCATGATATGTTTTTTTTGGTTTGAACATCATCATGTTGAAAAAAGAACACCCTGTGGTTTTCATTCATCTGGAAATTTATTTCATTTGTGGTGAGCTTTTTTAAACAAAAGATAAAGGGCAATTAAGGCCATGTTTCCTTCTGTAGTAAACAATACAAACAAGACTATGTAGAGAGGAAGAAAGGTTTGTTCATAAATGTATTTTAAGTCGATACAAAACTACTATAGTTCATGTAAATAGTTTTAAAGTACATTTTTGTATGAGGCATTTATAATGCAAATGGAAGAAGAATTATGCCAAAATTGATCCATGACAACTCTATGTGACTTGCGTACATTTATGTCGGAAAAATTAACTGGGATCACTTTGGCATAAATTGATTTTCAGTTTTAACTTAAAGGAAGTTCAAACATTGATTTACAACCCTGAACAATGCAGCACTTATAAGGTGGCAATTTCTTGCCTCCTAAAAAAGCCCATGCTTGGTGTTCAGTGATAAGCAGTGATATATTTGATAAAAAATCTTCTCTGATATGTTCACACGGAGAATGAAAGACTAACAGGATATCACAATATTTTTTTTTGTGCTGGAAGGGGGGGGGGGAGAATTGAGGAATAGAGAGTAAAAAGTAGTAATATGCATCTTTTCTGCCGATTCGTAATTACAGAAATACGGGATATATCATATTAAAAGATATAAAAAAAGTTTCTAAAAAAAATTATCAAGCATCCTTGTGGATCACCTCAGTATGTGCCTTGGTGAATCACAAAGTGTTGTGACAGTAAAAATTTGTCTTGTCTGCTGCCCAGGGCAGTTGCCATTACACATGGTGTTTTATGATGCAGTTTATAGGAGCTGGACATGGACACTTGTCATGCATGTTCTATTATTTAAACCTGGCCCAGTAAGGAATACCAGTTGAATGGTTAGGAAACCAGCCAATGAATGCCACTCATTTTGAATAACTTTCAAATTTTTAATATATACATTTGTTAAAATGAATTGATCTTCAAAATTGCAATAATTTGTTTGCCTCTATGATAATAAATCCCAAAGGTCTCCCACTCATAGTGAAAAAGATGAGGAAACATATTGTATTTCGATGGGTAGACATGCATGATTCAAGTCATGTTCAATTTATTTAATACATTTTCTACATTTTTACATTGTGTGAATTTTATATACCATATAATGTGACAAATTTTCACATTCACTTTGATCTTATTTCAGCCATGGAATCATGTTAAAATACATATATATACTGTAAAAGCAGAAATTTCCATGGGGATAAAATTTCATTAATTTTGTGATCTGAAATGATTTCCCTGGTACATAAATTTGTTATAAAAAATAACCATGTAAGATTAATTTCCGGCAAAATTTTTAATGATTAACTGGATTAAGACCATCAGAAAACAATGGATGCAGTGTGAATTGCAAAGTTTTGCTCTGTCCATTGAGAAATTATGTACCTTAATTGAGGCTAAACTGATTTTTATGGGGTATTTTCAAACACATGCACTTTATACGGGAAGTAGTGTAGCCTGTCATTTTGTGGAACTATTTTTCAGAAAACTTCTATTCTGCAATTAAAGATTTGCCTACAAAGAGGAAGTGCTAGTATAGGATATGTAGATCATACATTGATTTTTTTTTTATTATTGTGAACCACACGTCCTTAAACATAAAGCATACCGGATACACCAAATACAGTAGTCAATTGAATGCCAAGTTCTGAAAAAGCAATATTCGTGTTTGCGAGTCACACCCAAGAATTAAAAAAAAATCAATTTTTATATACTGGATTGCATTTAGTTCCACCTCATCAAATGGAATTGTAGAATATTTGCATGTAAAACCTGTTTGAATTGTCACAAAAATGTTCCACCTAAGACCTTTTATAGGCTGATATAATAAATTAACATGCATAATCAATGTGTAAAACATATTAAAAGTACAGAGGTACTCCTGTCCTAGCTTTAATAAAAAAAATTAGATATGCTTACCATATTATTACAGATAGGGAAGCCATGAAAATGAAATATTCTAGTCATTTTGCAAGTTGTTGATCCATTGTCAAATAAAGGATTTGCATGGAATGTCAAAAGGATTATATTTTAGCTTGTACATTTATTTAGGGGTATAAAGTATTGCTGATGACACTGATGATTGCAAGAACTTTTTATATTGACCTAATAACCTAGAATTCCATTTCTTTTAGTTCATATGGCAAAAATAAGACCATTTTGTCGAAGATGACCGTCAAAAGACAATAAAAGGAGATTGATTCATTTTCATCTGTTTTTTAGGGTTTTTTCTTTTAATTGGTTGTCCATATTGG